GAAGATAAAGCAAAAAAAATAAAAATGATGAAGAAATGTGTAAAAGGTTTAAAACAAAACCGAGCTGGATACCTACAAAATGTTATACAGTAGTTTGTAGTAAAATTAAGAAATGTGAGTGTGCTGCATCATGAACAGGTGATCATAACTCCTATCACTGCAATAGCTTGATTCTATTTCTGACTTTAAGCATAAAGCAGAAAATCAGGCTTAATCTGAAACATCCCAGAAGGAAGACAGTGGATGGAAGTGCTGAAGTGAGTGCAAAACAAAAAGCATCTCTGGCCACGTAAACATTATATAATTAAATATTAAAGATATACAGTTAATGCTAGTCAGTTAATTTGAACTTAAATTGACTTTTTCAACTGGGTGCAGTTTTGATTCACATTATATCTACCACTCTATTTATTTATTTATGGATGAACTTGATGTGAATAAAAGAAAAGCCGCAAAAGCAGTGATATCAAAATCTGTTTGCTAACAAATAATAAAATCCTGGGGAACTGAACTCTGAGTATGATGGATGGGCAAACAATGGGACAACATGTTTACACGTCACAGCTCTGAATGACAAGCTTTGTGTTTGCTGGGATTAAAAGTTACTTACCTATAGGGTATCCCAAAGCAAAATCATTGCTTTGGGTAGCAAAAATTGAGAAGAGCCCAGCCTTACTGTAGCGACTGACGGGGCTGGCTACTATCAATGTGAGGATGCAGACGAGGAAGAACACGCACACTTTGGCGATGAGGATGCTCCAGAGAAATGGCCAGATGACATTACCAAAGTCCAGCAGCACCATGTTCTTGAACAACAGTGCTGGAAGAGCAAACTTGGAAACAAAACTCCCCAATCCTTTGGCCTGGGTGGAGGTGATAATGTTTGCCCTCCCTGCGATGTACCCGCACAAAATGATCCCAAAGCATTCCAGGAGAGCCGGGAAGAGCCTGTCGATGGACATGCTGGAGGACAGGGCAGAGGAGTCCAGCTCCTCAGATGAAAAGTTGAAGCTGCGGCTTCTTTCCGGTGCCTCCATCATTATGTTGACCCTCCCTCTGCCGCCAGCTGTCATGTCTGGTTTGCCGTAACGGTAATCCCCTCCTCCTCACCAGTCGGCACTGTCAGTCACTAGAGACACTGAGGAAAACTTTCACTTATAACCTTTAAAATCACCGGTTCAGCTGTAATCTCATTACACACGTAGAGCTAACTACGTCAGTTAACCGAAATAATATCGTATATTAACAAGACTGCTTTTAGAGAGGTTTTAACGTTGTTTACACATAGTTAAAAATCACTGCAACCGATATAACTTGTATATATCTTTTTAATAATGCAGTCTCACCTGTCTGGCAGCGGTTGAGCACCCATGCGCTAGTCATATTTAGGTAGCCGTCAGTTAGCCAGCGAGCTAACGTGAAGCTGGAGGCAGATACTAATCAGAGCTTCTTACCGATCCAAACTTCGCCTTCCACCTTTACTAACTTCTTAAAAATAACTTGACACTAGCGCTCTTCTTACTGTTACGTGACCGCGTTGCTTAGTATCCAACCCACAAGTTTCATTAGCCATGATTTGTCAACACATCTCAACCAATCACTTTTCAAGATAGTGAAAAGAGGCGTGGCGTAGCGCCTTCTTTCTATCCTTTTCGAAAACAACGTAAATACGTATAAGAGACGAAAGATGGCATAACTATGACCACTTATTTCCGCAGTGCTGACAGACAGGCTTGAAGGATGCATTTTAACCCAAACATAAACTTAGTAAAAGTTTAGTTTACCAGACGCCTACCTAAATTTAAACTGCTTAAAAACTTTAAAGTCTGGAAAGCCCCTGTACGGGGAAATTCAACCGCCACCTCACAACAGCCAAGTATGTAGTGATGGGTCGTTCGCGAACGAAATGGCTCTTAGAGCCGACTCTTTGACGTGAACGACGCGAGCCGGCTCCTTATCGCGAGCCGTCACGTGGGTTTTCTTTTTTTTTTCTTTCTCTCAGCCTCTCTCTCGCACTTTTTTTCCGCTTCACTCTGCACGCGAGCCTTGTGCTTTATGCTGGGCAGAGGGGGGAGGGGCGGTAGTTACACTCAGTAGCACAGGAACAGAGCCAGAGAGAGAGAAAGAGAGGCAGGGACAACAACATTAGAAAGGTATAGTAATCATCCACAACTATTTTCAGTTGCAGATGATAAAGGATTGAGAAAGTTTATTCATGCAGGTCCATATGACAGAGAATATGCATGTTCTTTTAGTTTTCATATTATAATTTATATTTAATTGTGTTGTGGTTTGCAGTGTTTTGTGTTCTTTTCACTTTAAATTTGTGAAAGGAAAAAGCTGAAAATTTAAATAGTTAAAACTTGAAATGTGAATAGTTGATTTTTGTATTATATGATTTATTTATTACATTTTATGTGGAATGAATAAATAAAAGTATATTTACGGTGGCCCCTAGAGACAAAGCACATACAAACTTCAAATCACGTACGAACTCTGAAGCATGTACAAACTCCAAAACACGTACAAACTCCAAAACACGTAAAAACTCCAAAACACGTACAAACTCCGAAGCACGTAAAAACTCAGAAGCACATAAAAACTCAAAACACGTACAAAAGACAACAGAAGTGCTCCAGGATGCTGGGCGCAGTGTTGAGCCTTTGTTATCTTGTGGCTACACAAGCCAGCAAGTACCAACGACCGGATTTGGTGTGTGGTAATAACAGGTAAATGAACTTTTTTTTAAATTATTTGAATATATATATGAGTGCCTGTGTATAAATACACAAACAATACACACATGCTTTCAATTGTGTAATTTAAGTGATCTAGTAGCTCGGCTTTGGAAGTTCAGTTCATGCTAGAAATGTGTTTTGGAGTTTCTACGTGTTTTGTCTCTAGGGGCCACTGCATATATTTATATATAAACATATATAAATAAAACCACTTGTTTTTATGTTAGTAATTCCTTTTGTGCATAATTTTATATTATTGTTAATAATAAATTAATTAAAGCAACAAAACAACCTGAAGAGCCGGTTCGGAGCCGAAAGAGCCGGCTCTTTTTAGTGAGCCGAACCGAAAGAGCCGGATCTCTAAAAAGAGCCGGAAATCCCATCACTACAAGTATGGTAGAGTATCGTCTACAAGTCACATGACCAATCATCGCTACGAAAGACTGAAGACTGTCTTAAATGACTAAAAAGCATTTAAATGCTAATTTTCAATTAAGTAAAAGTTTTGTGAAAACGGTGTATCTGCATGTTATGCCAAATTATAGTTTTAAAAAGGCTTTAATCTAAAAATGACGAGAACCACAGTTATCATCATAAAAATGATGACAGTGATGGAAAATGTTAACATTCAGCCCTTCTCACGTGCTGAATGGAAGGATCCTGTTTTGTCTCCATATAATCTTTTATTAATACAAGATATACTTAACTGTACGAGTTATCTTTTGCATGAAATGTTCTGTCTTCTGTGATCATAAATCTTTCTGTGTTTTTTGTTATTCTTGGTCACGAGCTATGCAGACTTTTGTTGCAGTTGCATGTTAGTCAGAATGGTGAGTGTGGTTCAAGCTGTCAGGAAGGTAGATATAACTAAAACTATCCCTTGTAACAACCAAGGTATGTAGAAAAGCGTCTCTGAATGCACAATACATTGAACTCTGAACCAGATGAGAGCCATTCCTGTCAGCTAAAACACTGAAAAACATGCAGGTGAAAAATCTGCACCAACTGTGTGACGCTGTCATGTCAACATGAACCAGAATCACTTAGGATTGTTTCCAGCACCTTGCTGTGGACCCAGTAGCAAATTGTAAAGCAAGGAACAGGGGAGAACAACATCTCTAGTATTACATTCAAATGAGCACAAAGCATGGCAGTATCATTTATCTGGGATGTGGGAGTATATCAGGGAAATTAAAATGTTGATATACTCTCCCAAGTATCTTAACTGTGGAATGCACATTTTATACAACCTATAAAACCCAGAAATACCACAAATTTAGTCTCCTGTGTGCCCACAGAGTTAAGTAAAAAAGTTAGCTAATGCCTGTGTCACATGCACCTGTCAAATAACTGCTGTGAACTGAGGAGCCAAGAGCTAAGTAAGCATGTAAAAGCACATTACAAGTAAAAGTGGACAGGTACAGAATCTGCATTTTTTACTTGTACAGCTGCTGTTATTGTGTATATATTTATTTATATTTAGATTTCTTCATACATTCTTATATAGTTCTATATTGTGTATTGTGTATTTTGTTGTACAGTTATTTTATTTTCAACTTTAATTTATATATTTATCTTTATCTTATTCTTCCCAGTTAAATTTACCCTTCATTCTAATTTGTGTTGTACAGTTATTTCATTTTTAACCTTAATTTATATTTTATTCCTTCCTAGTTAAATTTACCCTTTTTAATTTTTCATATTTATTTCCTATCTTATTCATAGCCTTTTCCTTTTTTGTTCTCTTTAGGTCACGAGCAGTTGTCCAAGCATTTCACTACATATCGTACTGTGTATGACTGTGTACGTGACAAATAAAATTTGAATTTGAATTTTGATTTGCATTAATATTTGAATTTCAAATAGAGAGTTGACATAAGGTGTACAGTGTAAACAGTGACGTGGGAAACAAAAGGCAGAAGTGCTTCAGAAAAATAAGTCTGACTTATAATAGTGACACGATTATAAATCAGACCCTCGTGCTTTAAACTTAGGCACAATTAACACAATTACCAGCTATAATTTGATTATAGCTTTTATGATTCTAACATGTACCATTTGATATTAAAGACATTCAAATATGCTCCAGAAGTTGTCAGTCTGCCGTGTGCTGCTACGTACATTAGCTAGAACTGGATTCTTTTTTCCTAATCTCTATGTTTACCCTGGAAGGTGTAGGTCAGAATTTTCATATTTTTAGTGGTATGAAGCACGTGCCAGTGCTCTTGTATCAGGACAATAGAACAGAATAAAGCAAGGAGCTGCAGGAAGGAGGCTATCAATTTTAATCTGTTTTTCTGCTTATTGCGCTATAAAGTCTACCCTTCAGTCATATCTCACCTTGTAACAGGACAAAACAATTTTATTCAGCTGTACAGTAAAGGTGTCAAGTAAAGCTGCACAATATTACACAACATTAGATTTATGTCCAGTTGCACACATGTTCCTGTCCATACACACAAGGGAAAAAGTAACTCTGTCAAAATAGGTTGAATATAAATATGAAAATACTGCAAATTACATGTTCTTACAGGATACAATTGTTCACACTCCAAAAACAAACAACAAGAGAAAGGCAGAACAAGCTGTAAATGCTGTCAGGTCTGTACAGGAGCTTCAAAAACCAAAGGTGAATGTGATCACCTGAGAAGTGTAGCTGGTAGAATATAAAGGATGGGTCTTTAAAGCATACTCAGCTCAATGAGGCGGCCTGCGAACACCGCTAATGTGCCAATTAGACACACAGCCATAAAGACACAAAGCAGAATGTGATCCAACACCATGGCCACAAACTTCCACTCTTCAGCAGCCTGAAAAAAAAAACATTAGAGAAAATGTATCAATTGCAGGACTCTAGATTGGATTTTAGCAACATATTAGGAAAAAAGTTTATTATAAGGATGGTTACACTGCTGGATTCCTCATCTGATTTCATGGTTTCTGCGATGTATTTAACCCCATCAATGGCACTGCGCACATCAGGATTCTTTGTGATGGGTGAGTAGTAGGGAACAGCAGAGGCCTGGTTTCCAGAGATATCTGAGATATCAAAATCAGCACCATAGATGGTTTTTATCTGCTTTTCCTTTCCCGGGCGTTTCATTGTTGAGAAGAACATGATGTTGGGAATGGTTTCGATAAAAACCTATCATGAAGGAGACGAAAAATGTGTCAGTGAGTGTACAATGCCAGAAAAGATGGATAAAGAAGAAAAAAAACATTTTAAGTCTGTTACCACTAGATGGCAATATAATGCAGGAGAAAAACTCAATCTTGCCTCGCTTGAGCAAATCTACTCCTTTAGTTATTCAGCTCCACTATCAAAATGTAGTCTTTTGCTTTCTTGTGCTCACCTTGCGGACCCAGTTTGGCATTGTGTGAGTGCTCGGGGAGCGGTGGTGGGTGTTGATAACAATGACAGTGATGATGATGGATGCAATGACAAACACCATGGTGAAGAGCATGTACTTCCCAATGAGTGGTACAGCGCTAGAGGTAGACGGGATCAGCTCCACAATGACCAGCAGGAACACAGTCAGAGACAACAGGACGGAGATGCTGAGGGTCATCTTCTCACCTGGAAGACACCATTGTAACCATTCACTCTTTCTTAGTTTGTGTAAAAATCCGCATGAGGTATAGAAATTCAAACACAGTCAGCTGTGTAAATAGGGACTTACTAACCAAAGAACATAAAATTGGCTATTAAATTATTTCAGTTCAAATTCCATTTCGCAGTATGCAGTTTTGATCAGAACATGATACGTAGATGTTCATCTGATCTTTTTTTTCTCTTGTTTACTATTCTTGACCTCTTCAGTAGTCTAAACATAATTCAAATAAAAAGAAAAAAGAAAGAAAATAACGTAATTACATTCTTAGGAACTACGATGGTAAATGTAGGACACCATGTTTATGCCATAACTAATCCCCGATACACTGAAGGGCTGATAACATGTTTAGACCATAACTTGACCTGAAAAACATGAAGGTATAGGTGCAAATGTCGTGCAGATTAAACTGCATGAACATGCAATCTTATTAAACTGCCACCAGGGAGGGCTGTTTCCTGAATTCCATCAACTAACTTTAATTTGAATTTATACAGCAGCACATTTGCATCGTTCACCCAAATAAGCAAATCAAATCCAAACAGTGATAGGCTACTTTTTTCCTCTTTCATAAAGCCAGGAGTATAAAGAGATTTTGACACCATTTCACATGAGTAAAATGTGAGACATGTTCTTTTTTTTTGGGTTTGTTTTTGTTGTTGCTCAGTAAGAGCATTTATCCCAGGGAGGGCATCTTTTTTGGCACTAGCATCTCCTCCTCCTGTCAGCAGCCATATCAGAAACAGGGATCAAGTGATGTATTATACATTAAAGCAAAGGCCTGCTTTCAGACATGACAGCACAGAGGGACTCTGGGTAATGAAGCAGACCGACACACTGGGAACATGGCCAGATGTGCACATAAGCTGTGCAGTTCCTGAAAAAGCCAGTGTAGAGACACTTTGGACTGACAGGCAGCATTTAAGGATTTTTCCAACACGGTTTCAGTTGATATCATAATAGGAAAGCCAAATAGTGGCCATGGTCTAATTTTGACAATTTACATCATTTGCATATATGTACACATACACAAGAAACAGTAAAAGAGCTGGCTTTGTCTGAAGCTCAAGCAAATGTGCTTAAACAGATTTGAAAAACGTGATTAAATAACATTTTAAATGTTTCCTTTTCTAAACAGATTTTTTTTTTAGGTGAAAATTGCAATTGTCTATGCAATTTTAAGGTTTTAAGGTTACTGAGGTTTTACAAGTACTAGTAGATGGAGTTTGTTACCTTTGGACATGTTATACATAGCTTAGCTTGTAGACTTCTAAGCTAGCTATCTGGCTGTTCCTTCCAGACATGAAAGTGGCATAAATCTTTCTGTCAGCCTCTTGAAAGGAAACAACATACCATTTTTCCAAAGAGGCTGAAGTATTGGCTCGCAGGTAATGATTCCCTTTGAAAATATTTGAAAAGCATACAACAAAAGCAAAGCTCGAGATAAATCTAGTACTATATTTGTCAAGATTGTGAGAAACTTCCTCAAGTATATTAATGTATATTAGTATATCAAATAAGAATTATGGTTTATATCTTTTTTAGTGAGAGGATGTGTTTAAAACTTTCTGTATATTATGATCTATGATAGATGTTTTATTGTTTGGTTTACATTTTTCAGTGCAAACATACCAGAATCCGTGGGAAGATAAAAGACAAGGCCAGTGAGGAAGGAAAAGAGCATGCACGGGATGATGACATTAACAATGAAGTACAGAGGAAGCCGCAGCATGAGGAAATGGTAGGTGATGTCCAGGTAGGGGGTGTCTTGGCAGCAGGCGTAGTACACCCAGTGCTTCCAGCCACGGAAATCCTTCATCACCCATTCTCCGCTTTCCATAAAGTGGCTCAGATCTGGGCGGTCACTGTCCTGTCAGGAAATATGAATATGATGATAATTATTCCTATTATGTAAATTTTCTAGAGAAATGTAAAGAAAGTTATAAAGAAAGTTAAATTAGTAAGCTTTAAATCTGCTTCCATTCTTTTCATCTGGTTGCAAAGAAAGTCAGATTGTAACAGTGTTTGTGAGAAAATAACCCTGCATTTGACTTGATAAATAATCTCATTAATTTATCATCCTGCTCGCTGGGTTTAAGTCTTTTTCAATGGTGGTGATGTGGTTAGCCCTGCTGCCTCACAGCAAGAAAATACCTGGTTCAGACTCTCACTTGTGCTCTCTCTGTGGAGTTTGCATGCTCTTCTTGTACCTGAATGGGTTATTTCCAGGTTCTCCATCCAATCACAAGCTTGGTTAATTAGAGATTCTAGATTAGCCATGGAAAAGAGGTTCTTTAGGGAGGTATTAAATAAAGAACCCTATGAATGCATTATTAAGTACATTTAACTGATTGCTTCGAGTGGTCAGTGGAAGCTGATAAAGCCTAGAAAATTACTATATAGATGTCGATTCATTTCCAGTTGAATTCTTAAAATATGGGTGCTAGATATAGCGAAGAGATTAAGACATGGCTGTGATTGACAAGTGGCTATAATGTGGGCATACAGATTAAGCACCTTCTTAGTCTGTTGCATCTTAGCCTGTTCAGTATTTTGTTGAAGTAAAAAACTAACAGACTGATTGTTTCAGTTTGTTCATTTTAATTTAAGCTTGTATTTGTATCATGTGCACTTTGCTAACCAAGCTAGTTAGCTAGTGCTAGCTGATTAACGCCACACTCTTGTCCAAGTAGTACATCTGGTTTCTTAAGCAAAGCATGGTTAAAGTCAGAAATTGAGGCTTTAAAACAGCAGTTAATAATTTAATGGCTGATGTAATAGTCACTCTGTCAATCCTTTATATGCAATTCATGACTTTTCCTCAAATTTAGTTGGCTAAAACTGTAGTTGTCTACAAGCTTATCAGAAAGACTAGAAGGGGAACTTCTTGTCTAGCCCTTGCCAGTGTAAATAAAGGAAACGAAATTATTTACATGTTGCAACACCGTTTTAGTGTATGTATAAATGACAGCTTGAGTTCTTGTGTCAATTAATAATTTTGTCTTTAATTCATGCAAAACAGAAGTTATCATTTGTCATTATTTTGTAGGTTTTGTGTACACTTTTGTTTTTTTTGGACTGAGGCAGACTAGTTGAGAGTGGCATAAATCTCCTCAACTAACTTTAAGAAACAGCCTGTGAATGGGGTAATATGTATTACGGGATTGATGACGACCAAGTTCCCATCGTAGGTCCAGGTACCCAGCTTCATGCTGCAGTTCTGGAGGTCGAAGGGGAAATGCAACACAATAATTTCACAGTAGCTTTTGAAGATGGCGGGTGGGTTCCATGTGATCATCCCAGTGTACTCCAGCAGCACTTTGGTCTCATGAACAATGGCAAAGTCACCGTCGGCACTGCGGGTACAGACAAGCACAGGCGGCATCAACACAGGAGATAATAAGTTAAATGTTCACGCTGGGGGACATCAGCACTTGAGGACAGGGTGCGGTTGGCACAAGTTGTTGTGGCAGCAGAGCTGGTTGTCAAGGGAAAAAAACAGCAGTGTGTCAATGCGGCATATGGCACGGGGGGGGGGGGGGGGGGAATCTGCTATACAGAGGCCAAATTTAGCACAATGAAATCCAAGCTATCACGCACTACATGCTGCAAGTATAGAAATGTGTGATCCAAAATATCACTAATGCGTGTGCTGATTGTTTTCTTGCAGTCAGAATTTTCAGGTCGAGTATAATTTTATTAAGGAAATTGTTTTAGGAAAAAAAAAAAATGTATACCTGGCATTGGTCAGTTATAGCTTGAATACGTACTTGTTGTAAAGAACCAGATCAGGACGCCAAATGTCCCTGGAAGGTACTCTGATCTTTTTGATGCCACCATAATCCTCTGGGTTCCACTGCAAGTTCACATCTTTCCATTTCTGAAATACAGAGAGGGACAGCCAGGACAATAGTTTATACTTCAAAAATAGCAGCCAGTATAAATGGTTCGTTTAGTGGAAAAAACAGAAAACATCACAAAAGCTGTTAATGAGTGAAAATTCTGATCATCATGCTGAAAGTGGACACAATGATGGTGAAGCAAGCCTGAAGTAATGAGGGACAAAGTATTTTGCACAATGCTTGGAGGACAACAAACTATCTTGAAGTAATCAGTAATGAATCAATAGTTACTGTTCTGTGATTTTTGGTGTTTGGATCATAGTTTATCATAAACTACTTAGAAAAGTGTGAGTTAATTATAGACCAAACATAATGATGATTTGTCATTTCTCAGGCAGTTCTCGTGGGAATGATTGCTGTCTACTTTTGAGGTTTTGCAGACATGTGATCACTAACCATATGATGTTAACCAGTCTTTTCGGATGTGCGACAATCAAACATTGTAGGAACAGGTGAATAAAGCTCTAGTCGCTCAGGCCTATAGACTGGTCAGTGAACAGGCTATAGGGAACCTGTCCTGAGGGAAAAATTTATATTCCCCAATTGGTTGTTAGTGGTTAGTGGTCAGCAGCCCTACAGACCATCGGTGTCCCTGTGGCGACCCTGTGTCGGTAGGGAAAAATCCCAGCCAGCTGGGAAAAACCTCCTTGTATTGGCTTTGGTAGCTAAAATATAGCTGTGGTCCTGGTTTGAAAGGAAGTGATGAATTTGCCCTAACCCTGTCCAGCTACTAGAGGTAGATGGGTCTATCAAAATACCCATAGTATTGATACCAATGCTGGTTATGGTACTGCATCGATACTAGTCTGACAGGATCAATACTTTGTTTCTTATATGGTCAGTATGTAGCCCATTGTCCTGGGTTAATTCATTATTTTTTGGAAACAAAAAAATATAATTTACCCCAAACAAGTACCATAATTTAAACAACAGAAACTGATCCAAAGGGTTTTAGAGACAGGCACATTTATATTCCAATTCTCCAAAAGAATCAGATTGATACCAAAATTTGCAGTGTTGTAGAGGAGTACCAGCTACTCTGTGTTTCATTGTGTTTCTTCAAGCTGACAGCATATAATAATTCGAATTCAGATTTTTTTGGTTAATCTGTCTTTTTTGAACAATACTAGAGGAAGTAATAGTATAAAATATAAAATAGTATCCTGGGTATTTGGCAAAAATCACCTACCAATGAATTAAAGGAAGAATTTTTATCAAAACAAAGTCAGTGCAGGATAATATTAGACTGAGTTTGGCCTTTTTGTCAATGCCAGAAGTGACTATAGAGGAATACCTTCCTTCTCCTTCATACACGACAACACAACAAAAAATTAACAAACCTGTTTCAGTCGCACATTGCTGGTGACAATCTGGTTAACCTCATCCTGTGGATCCAAAAAATGTGTTGTGTTACTCATACAGAGATTAGCATTGTGTGACAACAGTGAATCTTATGACAGGTGATATACTGCGAACTAAGACCTCACCACACTGATGAGCTGAATGAGCTGAAGACCGACAGTAACGTTTACTTTGTCCTTGAAATGACTGACAGGACGGACAACCTTATTGTAACCAGTGAAAAGGGTTTTAAATAGAAGTGTTTCTTCCAAGGAGCCCCAGGCCGTGCCTGAAACAGACAACATAGTTGCTTTGTGATGAGTTACGTCTGGAGTCATTTAAACAGTGACACCACTCTTGGTAGCTCTCCTTGAGTGCTGGAAAATCAGATGGTTTTTAAGAACACCTGACACTTAGGGTGACTTAAATTAATGTGACTGGAAAACAGACGTGATAATGTGTAGTATCTATAGTATGTGTGCTGCATAACTCTTAATGTGCTGACATGAAATTTTACAATGTAAAATAGACTTTTACTTGATATATAAATAAAACGTATACATGCAGACTGTAAAAAGAAAGTATACCTTTTAGTTCTAAGGGTTTTAAGGGTTTTTGTATCTGGACATTATTATTTTTTCCTTAGCAGGACTTGAAGTTATTTAAATATTACCTCAGATGAACTACAGACATGAAAAAATATACTGTTCTGTTATTTATTTAACAAAAGTTGAGTAAAAATGCAAAATTTGTGAGTAAAAAACTAATTATACCGTGACTGGTTTCATAGGAATTAAAAGGATAGGTAGCAGCCGGGTGCTGCTAGTAAAATGCAGTTGGTTAACTAATCATCAGCAAGTGTGAGCACCTTTATAAAAGCAGAAGTTTGGGCATTTTGCTGTTCTGGGACATTCAAGTGTGTTTTAATAGAATGCTAAGGAGCAAAAATCAGCACTGGATTAAGGAATTGCGAAGGAATTGTTGTTGCCCATCAATCTGGGAGAGGTTATAAGGCCCATGCCAATCATCCATCATTTAACCCTGGAGAACCCATGGGGTCAAATTTGACCCCATGGTTTCCCTAGAAAACCAATGGGGTCGGCTCTGACCCCATGGGTTCTCCAGGGTTAATAGTGAGAAAGATTGTTTGCAAGTGGAAAACCAATCTTCCCATGAGTTGATGTCCCAGCAAATTCATCCCAAAGTTAGACTTTGCAATGCACAGAGAGCTCTACTGGCCTGTGCATGTTCAATTTCATTTTCAAGTTCACAACAGTACAAATTAACAGTTGCTTGTTTGGAAGGTTTGCCAGGAGGGAAGAAAAGGAACATGACAGCAGAGCCAAGGTTTGCAGAGTTGCATCTGAACAAACTACAAGACCTCTGGGACAACATAGAAGACTAGTGTGGAGATGTCTGGCAGTAATGCACGGCATCACACTGAGCGAAAACTAAACACAGCATATCAGCACAAACATCCTCCAACTGTTAAATACAATGGTGGAGTGGTGAGGAGGTGAGGACAGGCTCTGGACAACTCGGGCACTGAATCTTCGATATTACTTAATTTTTTTACGCACTGCTTCTGCATTTTGGCTTCGTTTTTGTCAATATATTTGTGTCCTGGAGACATAGGGACTGCCTGTAGTGTAAACACAACAAACAGTGTGTATGTGCAGAGAGTTTAATTTTGGCAACACTTCATTGAAACATGTGATGGCTCCACTGTGTGGGTTGTTAACAGAGATATTCTTTTTCCATTTTCCATTACGCATCTGTCACAAGCCAAAGCAGGACCTCCTTTCGTTTCCCTTGACCTTGAAATGAAGGCCATTTTACAGCAACATGTAGTTTGAATGCTTGAATGATTCTCGGGACATTCAACACAGTAAACTAAGGAATTGCCTGTCTATAATTATGCAGATGACTTCATGTGGTGACAGGCAGATGAAGGGTTGAAACGCAGAAGAAAAAGCCTCACTGTACTTGGCCTCGCAAGAGAGCCAGTTTGTACAAAGCTTAAATTTGCTCATTAGTTGTGTTCTGTGAATTGGATCAGTTTACACTGACCTCAGAGAAGTTTCTGTAAATATAATTAATGAGGAATTTATTTGTATTTTTATTTATGTATAATTATAACTGATGTCTGAAACATTTAATTAATGTAAAAAAGGCGAGTACACTAAGTTATCAAGCACACATTAGTTTAGAACAATTTCTTACCTGTTAGGGTGACTAGATGAAAAATAAAAATCACAACATTCATTGTCGCGAGTAAACTCAGGCATCCAAACTAAGATCCATCTTCGACACGCTGCCTGTCGATGACTCGAGAATTAAAACGCATTGAACCACGTAAAAGATTCTTTTAGCGCTGGCAAATGACTTACTGTACAACCTTCAAGCTCTCCACTGGCAGCCTGGTTGTTATTGTGGCACAGTGGATGTGAGAGACTGCCTGCCAACGCTTGTTATTTGAGAGGGACACAAGATATAAGATCAACATTCCACAGTAATCCACCCCTGAAATATCGCATCATGAACTTGGCCACACACAACCTCTAGGTGCAAAGACACGGAGCATGCTTGCTCTGTGCGTTTTCTCTTTCTAATAATCTGTTATTGAAGCTTTGAAATCCTTATCTACAGACCTGTGTAAATCAAAATGATGTCTCCACACTGATAAATCTGTCTTTATGAGTTTGTGCCACAGGACAAAAAAAAACAAAAACAAAAATTCAAGTGTGACAGATGATTTTAATTGGTTCAACATTACAAGATGTTTCTTTTAATTTTTTTTAAGTGATCTTTAGCAATCGTTCTCCAGTTTTTCTTTTGGACATTGTTTGGTTTTTCGCTCATTTTTAATCCATTCCTTGCACGTGACCATTCTTAGAAAAATGCTTTTGTTTGGTTGTTAAGCCATTTAACACTGACCTGTGTATTAATCCAGCATATAAAAAGCACCTAACAAAACGGATGTTTTTGTGTCTACTCATCACAGAACCCATTTTAAATAGTATCTTTAGCTACGTTATTTCAAGCAGCCTGTCACAAAACACATAATATGTTCCCATTTCTTTAACTGAATCTCCAAAAGGTAACGTCCGAAGAGCTGACAACTTGGCATATCTATTGTGAGCAGAATCAACTTTCTGGGATTTCCTTACCTGGATGATTGAACATGCATCAAGATACAATGGAACACCATTCATCATAGACTGGCCTCCCCAGAGCCCAAATGTCAACACTATTGAAGCAGTGTGGGATCATGTTGATAGTGAATGGAACAAAAGGCAGACAGCATCCAAAGAGGAGCTTTAAATGTCTTACAAGGAGAAATGTCTTACAACTATTCCTGAAGGCTACTTAAGGAAATTACAAGATGGCTTGCCTCAGAGAGTCCAGGCTATGTTGTGGTCATGCTATATGGTATGTTTCCATTTATGTTTGCATATTTTTCATACAACACCACTGTACATATTTTCTATTTTGATAGAAAAATATGAAGAAATTAGGGGTAACTAATTATTATGCGTACATTTTCAATGTTGCTTTTTTCTGAAGACTTGAGCAAAATGGTCATTGCAAGAAACCATTTAGTATGAGTAAAAGTTTCAGGACACATGAGGCAATGCTAAGTGGTGGCCAGGGGTGGCTAGTGCCACAAAAGACTAAATATGGCCACCACTCAGAATAAAGTGCTGCTGGAGGGGTTAAAGTCATCAAACTTACAAAAGTTACATCCAGTTACTTGCATTTTTCCCACAGAGCTTTTTTGCAGAGCCAGAGCTCTATTACTGTTGTTGCCATGCAGACACATTGTCATTGTCTTTATACTCCTTTGAGTAAAATGATTAGCCTTCGGTACCACCACAAAATATGTGGTGATCTCAGCTTGTCACCCCTATAGAAAAGCATTTTTGGACCTGCCCCTGCCAGAAACACCTTCAGAATGGATCACGTTGTGAGACTGCTTTGTTTAAAGCTTTGTCAATCCACACCGTGTCCTTTCTAGAGGGCAGGTGTTACACCCACGCATTTCTTTCTTGCTGTGCACTGCCCCATCCTGTCGGGCCAGTGGTGGGTCAAGCAACTCAATTTCCTCACATATCTACTCCGTTCAATCAGCCAACCACTGAACCACGAGCCTCATTCATCTCACTTAGGAACAAATGAGCATTTTGGCAATATCTGAATTAACAGAGATTCTTCTCAACCCTCCCCCTTTGCTCTCCCACTAGCCACTCAGGTCATTTGAATTTGCACCGTGTTAGCACCGCTTTGCCTTTCTCCAAGTCTGTCATGTAATGCAGGACAAGCCTTCATTGTATCTGCTCAGTCAGCCTTGTCTCAGTCGGACACTTCTGGTGCACTGTCCAGCTTTGAAGCCTCACAGTGCGAGTTGCGTGTTTACATCTGCTCTGTGAGTGATTAAATATTCAGCGAATACAAATAAAAGCACCTATGTAATACCTGCAGGTGGTGGATGAACAGTGGACACCATATTGAATGGTTATGGTTTGATGAACATTAAGAGGATTAGAAATTACAAAGAAAACATTGTGCTTTGTTACAAATTGTGGCAACGTAAATGTAGAAACACTGACTCATATTTTGCATACACATGATTTTTAATTCAATATGTACTACTCCTGTTTCCATATATTATTGTTATGTGTTAATATTTAAGCTTTTACGAGTGAAAATTTGTGTGCATTTGGAAAGCGTATAAATTAAACCACAGAAACAGTCACAGTGCTATAATGTCAAGCATTAGCCTCTAATTAAAAGGATAAGCATTGCCATTTAAAATTCTGCACTTATATTTCAGCACTTGTAAATGTATTCAGGTCAGCGTTCAGCAGGGAAGGAAGCATTGCCATTCAGCAGTTAAGAGAGAAAGGTCAGTTATCTCATGGATCACAGCCTTTCAGATTTCTCATGCTGTGAATAATGCACATCCAGTGCACAATACATTTGGCAGACGCTGATCTAGCATGGTGTTATCACCACATCTGACTGAGTGATAGAAAGCTTGATAGCTTTATTTGTGCGGCTTACCCTCATTCACAGTACTATGATATATTTAAAATGGCTGATAATGGTGGGGGGGCACTAAACGGTTGGATGAAAATCCAATTTTGCCACACTATCACCGGAGACAAGTCTGAATTTAGCTTACATTAACTCAATGTGATGTGGCCACAACACCGGAGTGATTAAATGTCAAGCAGTGATTGCTTCTCAAATGCTTAGTGGTGAAATTTGAGGCACAAAGACCTAAATGGAGGGAAAGGCTGGAAATGAAGCTGCAGACAACATAGAAAACAATACTACAGTCTGAACGTTCACGTGTCCAAGGCTAGAGGGAAAACACTATTTAAAATCACGTGGAATAAACACGCTATCCAAACAACTTAAATTTATTCTCTGCACCGTGCATGACTGGTTCTTGGAAATTGCATGGAAGGACATAACCTGTGGGTAATTAAACTCAAAATCCACAAATTTCATGTGACATTGTTTGCACATATATCCAGTAATTAACAACCTCCCCAGAGTGCAGTGGTGCTGCCGCAGGTAATGTGGGTTTGGTTTTAATTCCTCAGTGAATCTGTGTGACTGATGGGATGTTACAGGGATTTCTGTAAAGTCATGTGACACGTGACATGTGCGCTTTTAGGCACAACCCGTCATCATGAATATGCAGAATGAAAGAGTGTCAGGGTCATCACTGCAGCCCCTCCATGTCTAGTATATATTTCCTCTTCTTTATTTAATGCACAAGACTAGCTATTGTATGTTTTCTTACTATGAACAACAAATCTCTTAATAAAAAACAGCAACGTGTCTGTACTTAATAGTTTTCTTTCCATATCTATAGCACAGCCCCAGTGCAGCAACTATAGAAGTATAACGTTCCCAGATTGAGGTAGATATTCGGGCCAAATATAACCCACATCTGCAGTTGTTCTAAAGGCCATATTAAGCCTTGGCTTACAGTGTTGACTAAGGATGAATGTTGCTGCCCCAACCTGAGCAACAAGTTCACTTTATATGAGCCAGATGTCAGGTGTGCTGTCACATATGTTCCCCATCTGGTCTTCATAGCACTTCCTGTATCCCATATCAAAGCTGAGCCACTTCAAGGCACTTCATTTGCTGATGTTGTGCCACAACTACACAAAAATAGATCAAAATATGTAAGCTATGGAGACTGTACAAAAATTTAATTGTTCAGCGATGGACTATGGGGAGAGTCATAAGGAAGTATGGCTGAACAAAGTGATTTCACAGGCAGTACAGGCATTACACCAACATTACTTAAGAAATCAATAGTGTAAGTCACGGTGAAAAATGAAAGTAAATTCATGCTTTTTTAAAAAATTGTCAGTGAAATAAAGGAACTTCTAATGCGAAAAAGTGACAAATGGCTAAAATAATGCCCAACCCCTGCTGCGGATCTCCTTTGTTCTGCAGGGTGAGAACTCAGACTTCTAGCCCTTTTTCACTAGTACCCACTCGGCTCGGCTTGACTCAGTTTTTAGGCTTTTAACTGCTCAGTTAGGGTTCCAAGAGGCTTTAATGACTAGTTGGGACATTTCCCCTGAAAGACAGTATAAAGGCAAAGGTGAGCAGATATGTACCGGACAGCCATCATAATGCATCATACAATGAGAAGAGGACAAATCAACAATTGACAATGACTAATTAATATTAAAATCTGCCACAAGCAGCAGGCGCACCTCGCAAACGGAGGGCGCCCTTACTACCAGCAAATGGGCGACAGAAAGCCAATCGGTGCCTATGCGATTCCCAATATGTGCTGGCATGATGTCGGGGCAGCATGAGTACAAGTAATTTGTTGGTTTTTTTTGCCAATGCCCGTGATGCCGCCCCCCACCACGATGCCGCCCCGGGCAACCGCCCGTGTCGCCCGTATCAAAAACCGCTACTGTGCCCAGATTCTTGTTTTTACAGAGTTTTTGTAAGTTAAAAGAATGAAAATCACTTAATTGCATTTTTAACCAGATATTTATTGATTTTGATTTTTTATTATCTCAATTCAGATGACTTATTAAGCACTTAATTTATCAGAGTAAGGTTTAATAAATTAAAGTGACCATGCACAAGTTTTGTACAAAAAACATTACAGTAAAAAAAAGAAGAAAAAAAAAGAATCAAATTCACAAATAATGCTGCTTCTAACACAACAAAAATGTTAAGGTCAGGAAAATCCAGCAGTGTGTACACATTAAGAAAAAAGACTTATTCAAAGAACTGCAGGTGACGTAGAAACATTCGAGGAGATAAAAAAATACAGCATCATAAAAATTACCCCAGTAAAATTAGTAGCTTATTATTTTTTTTTTTTTTACATCCAACTATATAAAGTTTCACAGAAATAGCTGCACAGCAAGCAGCTGGGAATGTGGACAAAATCTACTGTGTTACAGACAAAAGCAGAAATCACAGCGCTACACATCTTAACACATGCTGGGTTACGACTACAAAGCAAACAAAGACCTTGCACCATGCATGCTGGTCTGTCAGCTTTTCAAAAAAACCCCGACAAAAATGGGGAGACAAAAGGTACGTACAAGTGTAAGGTTCATCATCCACACCCAGTACAGGGGAGGACAGATGTTAGGTTAGCACTAGTCCATACACAAGGCATTAAAAAAAAAAGCATCAATCAGTGTAATAAAAAAGTCATTCAAGTCTTTACACAAAAAATGATTAGAGGGCTGTTCTATAAAAGTCCTACTTTTTGTTTAGAAGAGTACATCCTCTTTTTTAATGAGCACCTCCACCACCTGTCTCTGATAGCGGATGTCATTCAGCGCTGTTATGGCGTCCGTGTTGGGTGCACGCATGAGGGTGGGCCCGAAAATGATGGCAAGGTTTTCTGCGTTCATCAAGTTGAATTTCTCATTTTGTGTCACCCTGCAACATTTATCAAAGTTAGAAGAATACTACATACACCCTCGCAAAGGAACAGTTTCAGCAACCGCATGCAAAGGTAACATGTAAGATACACACAGTCTAATATAAAATCATATTTATACATAACACATTTAACTCTTTACATGTTTAATTTTTTTTCTACTTTCTGATAAGAAATAAAGGCAAAGGAGAGGCTGATGTTTGAAAAATGCCAATAACGTTTTAGACATTTAGTCTACCCCTCCCGCAGCAGAAGCATTACACCCTTCACTAACCCCTCTTAATTATTTTTTTACGGTTCTTTGGCTCTTGCAGAATTACCTTGGATTACTCACCTTTTTAAGTGAGCCATGAGGTACTTTAGAGTTTCAGCGTGTGGTGGTGGTAGGAGAGCAAGAGCCTCGCGGAAAGCTTCCAGCTTCTTCTCTGCGTCTGTGAGCTCTGCAAAAGACAAAGGAGCACGCCATTAGTGTAGCTAGAGCAGGCAGTCACAAATTACCGGAGGTACTTCCGGTGAAGTAAAAGTAAAACCCATTAGTTTCCATTAGGAAATCTGGTGGGGGGGGCACTGAGTGTCCAAATGAACACTTAGTGCTCTTGACTGTATGCTTGTTGAAAGCAGCTGTACATTTTCATAGTGCTCATCGCTGTGCTGCAATGAAATAACATTGCAGCTCATACTACATTTGAATATATATTAAAAAATAGGGGGAAAAAAACATCAGCTGCAGCTACAGAACTCATATTGTACAATTATTCCAGATCAGGGATGTCAAGCTCATTTTACACTATGGGCGACATACATAAAACTCGGTCTTCTTGGAGTCGGGTTGTTTGGGAATGCAGCCCAAAGTGGGTGGTAAACTCCATCTAAGGCTAAATACCGGCACGAGACCGATAGACGACAAGTACCGTAAGGGAAAGTTGAAAAGAACTTTGAAGCTAAACTAATACTAAATTTATTCGCTTTGGTGCAGTATCCATGGCCATGGGAGAGGTCTTTATTGGTAGGAGAAGCTGCAAAATTTGCATAAATACAGTTAAAATGTCCAAAATTTATACACTCCTTTGCATTTTCCAAAGCCAACCCAAATTGGAGTCTCCAGCAGGTTGATTCTGGGCCCCTGAGCCTTATGTTTGACACCCCTGTTGTACTTTTCACTACATTGAGTCCAGTACTCTTCAGCTCACATCTGGTACATTATATCCAGTAAAACATTTTCTGCAAAGTAAAAGATGAATAAATGCAGGTAATGTCTTCTGATGTGACTCATTTCGTGATCAAATGAAGGAAACAGCATAGAGCTTAACGACAACTGTTTGCCAGCAAAAATCAAACTGAGTGAAACAGGTGTGTTTCTGACTAATTTGTCTGGTTGTGACGTACTTGCAGCCTCGATGAACCTGGGGTAAGCGTCGAATGAGATGACAGGAACAGGCAAATCCCTGAGGTACAGTTTCAATGCACCCGTGATGATATTGATGTCTTCATAGGCATTCACTGAGATGTCTGTCTTCTCGCCATCTGTGAAGACGAGTGATGGAAAGGGGGAGACAAGGAGAAGAAAGTGAGAGTTTTCTCACTAAATATGGCTCACATCAACAATCTCACATCACAGAGTAAATTCGGGAATAAAGACAGCCATGGAGAAAAAGAAAAAAAAAGCAGTCTTGCTCAGTATTTTTGCAAAGTAGCTGCTATCATCCGCCTGGCTTGTTTTATTCTGACTTTCTCTGGGTTGCGCATGCTTTTCAGAGCAGGCCATGGCCTACTTGTGCTGGCAGACTGAACATCACAGTGCTGTGAGCTGGAATGACACTCTGTCATGGATGATCTCCCACATGCGGATCTGGCTAAGAGTTTAGCCCACTGCTGCAGGGTTTTTCTTGCAGTTAAAATTCACACTGCACCGGGCCAAGACATTTTTATTCTTACTAAGTCCACTACTGAATCCCAACACAGCAAGGATCTTTTTTTTTTTCATGGCTGTCTTTAAGGCAGGGAGAGTGCCTGGTCTGTAGCCTCCTGAGGCTGTCCTTCTCTGTCCACACACAGTGAAATATCAGGATTGGATCTTAACTACCAAAGCAGCACTAACCTTTCACAAATATGTCATTTTATAATAAAAAAGTGTTGTGCATGAGTCTCATAAACATAGGCAGGCACAAAGTGTAATTTGTGAGTTGAAAGTTGTACAAAAACATGTAAAACACACCTTTGTCAAACCTGGACTTGACCTCTTCCACTGATTCGCTGAATCCAGATATTCTGTAGAGGCCTTCTGACTTCAGTCCTTGAGGAGCAAACAGAAAATAAACAACCTTTCAGTCACTGTAAGGGCTGTCACGAGTAATGGAGAAAAATTCAGCCACATAGAATTCCATGGCTAATTTAGGAAATGCCATTAAACGGTCTTAAATATGCATAAGAAATTGAGGATAAAATGTCCACAGTGTCACACAGTGGAACAACATGGGCAGATGCAAATACTTTTCTGCATCACTGAGCAAAATAATAAAGACATAAATCAAACTTAGCTACAGACATATATTAGTGGGCAGACAATGAGGGAACCAACGAGTTTCCTACATAGTTGAATGATTTAACTGAAATGCAATCAACTAAGGCAGCAGGAAACAGAGTAATGTATTCCTCATTAAACATCTGCAATTACCAGCAGTCCCATCACTCCTCTCAAGCCCCTTCCCATTATCCACCCCGACAAAAAACAAAACAAAAACCATTAACTCAGTCAGTAATTGAATCAGATTTTTAACACTTCAACCTAAGTACTATATATTGCAGATTGCTTACTGTAAATTTAAAGGGAAGCTGTTTTACAGCGAGAAACAGAATCCTTGAACCTGAGAGCTGTCAGTTAATCAGTGTGTAGGATTACAGCTGTGGACTAACAAAAACAGCATTTATTGTGCCTGTCTTGTTATTTTCAGCTCTACTGCGTATATTTGAATCAGACAGAACACACTGAAGTTCACGAGCTCACGTTAGACTAACCTCTGGACTCGATCTCTCTTATGCACATGTCCACCACCATGGGTCGGGCTGTATTGCAAGCTTTAACTAGCGTGCTGAGGTCACAGCTGTAAACTTTCCGGATGTGTCTCAGGTCGGGTTTGCAGTTGTTTGGTACCAGAGATGAGCACTGCTTGTGGGTGTTCAAACCACAATCTACAGACACAGAAAGAGGCACACAAATGGTTAAGTTCAGGCATATCTGTAGCATTAAAGTCACCATGAAAAAGGCAATATAGCGTAATGAATGACTGCTTCTAGTTTGTTTTTATACCCAAAGCCTTTACACAGCGCTCAGCCCTGAGTTCATTTTGATTTGGCTCGCTGGTTTCATGTGTTTTTTGGCTTGCAAAGCAGTGTTAATCCCCTTGGTCAATATCTGCCCCTGAAATGTCACAGGACCACTGGAGAGCTTTGGAGAGCTCTTTCTCTGCTACGCATGGCATTGGGCTCACCTTCGCTAAAGTCACCGCTAGAGGGGAGCTTGTTTAGTAGAAATGTATTAGCAATAAAAAAGGACAAACAGGACATTGACCATCCACAGAAATTTCATGTCAAAATACTCCTTTTAAAAATAGTTAGAAGAAATTGATACACCAATTTGAGGAAATATCTTTTTTTAGCCAAATTTTTCCTACTTCAGACATCGACTGGCCCTCAGTGGGTGTTTAAATAGCCAGCCCAGCAGCACATTAGTCAAGATGATAGCATACTCAACACGATGTTTTGCCATCAGTCACAAGACCCGAGGCACAGCTGTTTCAGGGCAGGATTCACCTTGTAGGGAACAGAGGTGCCCATGGAGAGCAGATGCAGACACTGCAGCGCTGCTTTGTAACAGAGACGCATGTTGGGAATTAGACGAACACTGAAAAAGCTGTGGCCCGGAGGAGGGACAGTCAGCACTGCTGTGTGCTCTATTCTTTTCCAAATCCAAGCTCACACACAATGGCTGTGGAAGCAGCAATTGAGGCGCTGCGGGCTATAGAAGACCTAGTTTCCCAGACTAAAATGGGGCAGCTCTTCGAGCTCTTAGATCTTCAGAGCCGTCTTCAAGTTCTATTAAAGGTTTTTTGACAATTGCCATGTGTTTTTTTTTTCTTTATTTCACAAATGTGACATCTTTTGAATCTCTCAAAAGAACTGCTATGTTTTAATTTTAAATTTAAAAAAAAGCTTCTTCTGAAAGCTACATGTCTGGAAGACCTCAGATGATATTTTGATTAATATGGGCCCCTTGAGAAATTCACACTGCCTGAATTTATATGCATTGATGCTGAAATGTAATTACCTTAAGAGATGATTCTCTTAAGGACATGAGACAGGCACTATAATCGCAGAGGGGGCCTGTCATCAGACACAAGGCTGCTGAGTTCCTATTGTCCATGCGAGCTCAACGGTAGCCCTGGGTCCCAGGTGGGGTGGGTGACAAGGAGCCCAGGGGACACTGGGAAACAGGGGATGATGCTTTGGTGCACCGTCACCTCTGTCTCTGTTGCTAAGGCAATGAAGCTGCTGCTCAGTGTTTTAGAAGAGTTTCATTGGTGGCTGGGAGCTCATTTCTAATCAGCACATTATCAACATGTCTAATCAGCACAGTTACCAGTCGAAACTGGTCTCTTTCTGACTGGAAGTGAAAACAAGAAGCATTACAAGTGTTTGTTAAAGGGACTGTTTTTTCTCCCCCTACCAAGTATTTAAGTTAAATAGGGGTTGAGCTGTGTGACCTAGCTCTTAGGTTGAAGCCGGCTGAATATTAATGTGTGTGGAAACAGTGCTCCTTCCCCACACTCCCATCTCTACTCCTCATTAAAGAGACATGCCAGCTTTGTTTTCCTTCACGGGCATGATGGGATGAGGCTGGGGGGTGTACTCTGATGAGGAAATGTGGCACAACAAACACAAGCAGAGGCTGGCTTTCTGGCACCCGGCCAAAAGCAGTTCACAAAAAGAAAAGGGGGTGGGAGAACATTTTTTTTTTTTTGGTATGCAAATTCGAGCATCGTGTGAGACTTTGCTGCCCTAGATTCTGGGATCTGAGGTTGAGTCTGAAGGAATGGCAATGTATTAAAGTCGATAAAGGTTGGCTCCAAACACATGTGCCTTTATTTGGATTGTTGTTCAAAACCACCGCATTAATAATTAATATCAGAGCTCTCGCAGATTTATGTGACACACTTTGTTTCATCAATAAAACATCAAAGACAGGCATCAGACCATATTATAGTACTATTTCGGGATGGGAGAACGAATGCTTACAATGAAATGGGAATCTCGTGTTTGAGTATGTGATAGACAACAAAGTAAATACACTGCAACTATTTCCCTCACAGTAGCAGAGCTGAATGTGTGAATGTTATTTGTCACATAAAGACTGAAAATGCTTGTAGACTATTGGTGAATATTCTTAAAATGAGCCCATAATTCATAGAAAATAAACACAGAAATCTTCCACGAAAGCAACGAGAACTGTACTGTGCGCTTTCAGGCCTACGAGACTGCAAATGTTCTTTAAAATCTTTTGGTTTTGGTCACGCTGATGAGAGAATGTGAAGACGCACTGAGGATTGTGGAGTTATGTGGAGTTATTATATTATTTAAGACTTTAGAGCAAAAAATAAGGAAGTAGATCAGAAAAAAGAAGCTTTTTACTTCATGTAACATATCTGTTACATCACAGTCATAAAGACCCCATTTCATTCTATTACACAATTAATAATCCTTAAACTACTCAATAATCCAGCTCCAGATGCACTGAAAGCCAAGTAACCCATTTACAGCGACGCCCCACCACCAACGCAACGAAAGAAAGCTGTAAAGTAATCAAGGGGTTTATGTAATGCGACTGAGAACAAGTCATACCTGTACATTTGACCCCCTGAGCCATCAGTCCCCACATGAAGCTGGCACAGTGCTCGCACCAGTGAGGTCCCCGAAAGGTATGGACCTACAACAGAGAGGAGGACAGTGACAGATATTAGCGATGAAGTGCAATGACGAGATAGAAGGAAACAGTGGGTAGTTGCAGTGATTTCTCCAGGAGACCAGTGGGTGCTGCCACCTAAAATGACACAGTGGAGGAGGATTGTTGTTTAAACAGGCCCTCAAAATGACAATGCTTTGGCGGGTGCAGCCGTGACACTGAGTGGCAGAGGCTTTGCCATCATGGCGCAGCATGTTGTGACACCTCACGAGAGAAAAGGTGCGAGCTGTCAGGAAATAGTCTATGGAAAGACAACTTCTTGTGTAGCAGAGGAAGCCCCACGCTCCAGGAGCTAACGACAGCCTCGCCAATCAGGGAGGCCTCTGGGAAAAAGAGCAAACCACAGCTCTCCTGGCATTTTTGCATTTAGCCATTAGCAATCTTAGATAAAAAGGCTTTTGTGTAGTATTGTTAGACTGTTAGATGTGTAGAAGTGTGGAGGCAATCGTGCTATAAAATATCCAAAAACTGTAAACACAAAACACTGACATCAATCGACTGGAGTGATGTCATCCTTAGCCATGATTGCATGTTACCATACCACATCGTACTCTCAAAAGTACAATCTAATGTGGACCTTTTAATTAATTGAACACAGTAAATGTAAATGTCTGCCCAATTTAAACTGGAAAGTCTGACATTAGAAGACACAAAGTGCACGTTTCACTCATTATACTTCAAAATATTCTCTTGATTTTGATTTCGCGCGCATAGCTTTCTCCTTTATGGCTGCAGAGGCTTCAAATTCTCTAAAGGTCGAAATGTAACATTCAGCAAAACAAGAGAACAAAGCAGCAGAGAGAGATGAGTGAGCATCAGCAGTTTAAAAGCCTTGACAGTAATATATCGCTCACTGTTCTCCATCCCATTAACCAGCCAAACTAGGAGAGTGAGCCTGAGCCAAACGGGGATACTGTCCGCCACTTTTTCTGCTCTCTATTGGCCTAATCTCTCCATCTGGTGCTCAAACTAACAGCAGTGGTTCACAGACCACCCAACAGATTTTCTTTTGATTAGGGCTCACTGGACAGACCAAAACAGCTCTGTTTTTCATCCCCAGTCTCCCTGTCAGTAACCCACACCCCTCCCCTTCGATCTCCCACAAGGGAGGCTCGAGCAGCAGCCCTGTGGCCACACATGATGAAATTAAACCAAGAGATGCAACAGCTGACAAGCGTTCTTTAAGTTGACTCATGCTCACCTTAAAGTTGTGGGCTTTCTCAGATCTGGAGGGCCAGTCGCTCTCCTTCAGTGAAGCTCTGCGAACCAGTGAGGTGAGCTGCGAATAGGCGAACAGTTTAAGTGGCTGCCAAAAAGTGGCTGAAGGTTTTTGTGGCCCCATCCTCATCCCCAGGGCTGCGGCCAGAATATCCTCCTGATTGGCCTCACGCTTGGCCTTTTGCACCAGAGGCTTCTCTTCCTGGCAAACCTCATAGGACTCTCTAGATGGCATTCTGGAGCAAAAAAAGGATGAAAAAAAAAAAACACAACCCCAGGAAAAAAAAATGGGAATAAACTCCTTGATGTTCAAACAAGATATACGTCAAATAATACTACTTTCATTTTGCCAATTAAAAAGAGACATGGCCTTTTTAAATGATATAAACAAGTCTTTAGATCATTCAAAAGAGTCCAAAAGAAAAAAAACCAAAATAAACAACAACTGTGGTCCCTTTTGAATCTCCTCACAGCAGTGAGAGTAGATGAAGTGGAGACTCTGTGATAGGAGTGCCAGCTTTTATACAAAAGAGGTGCAGCCTTGGGTGCTCATGTGGTTCTCTGGGAACATGTATGCAGATGAGCTGAGTGGCTGTGGCTAATCCTCTCCTCCCTGTGCAGAGCTGATATTCTCCCTGGAACAGAGACAGCGCACTGTTGTGTATGGATGCTGTCAGTGAGGGCAAAGAGAGGGGGAGGAGTATGGGGGTGGACCCTATAGTAGTCAGAGCAGATTAAAGGAATCCCACCAGCCAATCGCAGCACGGATGCACCAGCTTTATAGTAGCCAGTACCCCGCCCCCACACCACCATCAGATATCCAAGCAGGGGAGACTGGGTAGGACGAAATGAGAGTGGGATGATAATGAGCAATGAATGAGTCATGCGCCAGGAGTGGGCTACAGCCTGGAGAACTTGCGACAGCAGTGGGCCGTTAGAGAGGGGAGCTATTTTCAAAATCGTGTTGCTACAGAAACCGATCACGACACAAAAGCTTCAACCGTTCAACCAAAATAGGGCATCACTGTTATCGATGCATGCTATGACAGGAAGTGATGCGCAAAAGTTTTAGACAAATTCATTTTCGGATGGAAAGCTTTTCAACGAAACTTTTTTTTAAAAGTTGTATAAATAAAGCACTTCTTGAAAAATATTCTGCCTCAGTGAACTCTGTTTATACCACACACCAACCATAATGAAAAGGGACTGAAATTTCAACCCTGGCATTAGTGTGCACCATAGCGGAAGATGTGCTTTGTGTACATTTTAATGCTGCATTTCCTACATTAGATGAATACCCTTGAATTACCATTAGCTAAGCTATATATACTCTAAAAATAAACAAAAACAATACAAACATGACCCAGAAGATATCACTGCAATTGAAATAGCATAGTAACAACAGTAGCAACACTATCATATTTTGTATCACACATCTATATTCACCGTTACCAGCTTATTCCACCCCCTTACATTATGATAAAATATACAATAAAGAATTAAACAACATGTGTCTGTGCCAGGCGTGGGGGATCCAGCTGGGAGGATTTTCTTTCTTTGCTGCCTTTGTCTGACTGTTCATTTCCTTGAGGTATACACTGATGTAAGCTTGTTGTCTGCATAGAAATGAAGTATTAAATATAGCATCGTGGTGGCAATGTGAGAGAAAGGATGTGCAACCTACCTCGGTAACTCACACTGCAAGTCAAGTGCGATTATGCTCCCACGTCTCAGAATCTAATTCAGACTCGGCTGTTAAAGGGTAACATTCGCACCTTTTCCAGCTGCAGAGGAAGTGACTATACAGACTGTAGACTTCAGGAATCAATGACTGTTAAAGGCTCTTGCTGCTCCCATCTCATTGCAGAGGTATCAAAATCAGAGCATGAGCAGCAGAGGGGAGCAGGAAAGAGGCTTTGAAGATCGGCGTACTTATGTAGAATGGCATCCCAAACAGTGGTGTCTGACAGGGACAGGCTCACAACATGAAACAGAGGGCTTCCAGTGTGGCTACCCTCTCTCATGCTCAGTGAAAGTCTCTGCTCAGGAGGGTACCTGAGAGAGGATAGATAAAAGACAGTAAGAGCCTTTTATATGCACCACTTCATCCTCTCAGACCCTTAGCCCTTCAGAGGTTTTGCAGCGTAATTGCATTGCCTGCTGTTGAGTGCAGAATGAACGTCTGACATCCAGGATGTGGTTTACTTTGAACAAAGCTCTAATTGACACTGATTGATTTGCTTGTTTCCCAGACATGCCCAGAAATGGGACCCCTGAGAATGGATGCATGGATATACTCAGTATCCTCCGTGCTGTCCATCTGTGGCCAGCCTAGGCCAGAGTGCTAGGCTTCTCCACATTCGAGGTCTAAAGTGTTACTCAATCTTTCTAGATTAACAGTTTTATTCTGATTTGCCCCAGAAACTAGCAAAATCTCAAAGCCTTCACATTCTTTTTTTAAACTTAATTTCCTCACTCACTCCCTCCCACTCCCATTTGATCCATTAAGCTGTTGGTGTCGCTAAGTACTTCTGTGAGGTAAGAAAGTCGTTACGTAAGGAAAGTTTCCTCTAATGCACTGCTGACCCAACAAAACACGACGACCCATTAAGTGGACAATGGCAAGATCTGAATGTGAACTCTCACGGCTATGATTTCTTTTCTAGTCATTTGGACACTTTCATATGTTTAAAATAAATAAGGTACAGCTGCAATAATCCATCATTCAAAATCAAAGCGAATGTCAAAACACACAAAAAAGCAGAACAACCATTTACTTATATAACACCAAAAGGCTTTGAATTAATGCTGATCTACAAACCTCAATCTCAAGGAAATGTGATGATGTTATGTAATTCGAAGGTTGAAGAAGCTGGGATGTTTTAATACAGTTAGATCCATAATTTGTTGAACAAAGGCACAGTTTTTGTAGTTTTGCCTCTGTTCAACACCACGGTGGGTTTTACATACGTTTTAAATTAACTGTTTAGGAATTGCAGTCATTTTCATGCATACAGCCTCATCTTCAGAAGCTCAAAATTAATTGGACAATTGACTGACAAGCTGTTTCATGACCTAGTCAGGCCTGTTCCTGTGATATTTCATGACAAATGAGGAAGGCATAATATCTGAAGTCGATTCAAAGTGTTGAATTTTCATTTTGATGTGTTTCAGCCCAAAGATATCACTGTCAAAGTCTATAAGCCAGACACACCTTTATGAATGGTTTTACAACAAGCTGTAAAACCACTGGTTACACTCAAGAACATAAAAATAAGATTAGATTTTACCAGAAAACATATAAAACAGCAACATGCTCCTGAAAAAAAAGACATATGAAACCAAGATTAACTTTCATACCAGAATGATGGAAAGAGAAAAATTATGGGGAAGGAAAGAAACAGCTTGTGATTTGAAGCATAACACATTATCTGCCAAAGAGGCAAAGTTATGGTATGGGCATGCCGGCACAATCGGGTCATTAGAGTTAACTGATAATGTGAGCGTTGATAGAAGTATCAGGACGAATTCTGAAGTTTGCAAGGCTGTGCAGATTCAGCCAAATGTTCCAAAACTGAATAAATGGCACCTCACAGTCCAATCAGTTACTGAAAACAACTCTGAATGCAGAGAGACCCACACTTAGCCACTGGAGGCTGCAGCAAAGCCCTGACAGAGCATCTCAAGGAGGAAAAATAACACTTGGTATGCCAATTTTAGACTTCATTCTATACCTCATGCGAGTTTAAAAACAACCCCTCTATTTGCAATTATGTTAGTTTGCAATTCCTAAACTGTAAATCCAACTTTTCTGTAGAGCCTCTTGAATTAAAGCTGAAAATCTCCAGTTCTATTACATCTTAACTGTTTGATATAAAATCCACTGCAGTTGTGTACAGAGGCAAAACTACAAAACTGTGCCTTTGCCCAACAAATTATGGATTTACCTGTAAAATCTTAGAGTACAGGCCACTAATATCAGAACTAGGAACAGAAAACTTTCTGCAGAATTAAATGTGTGGCACAACAAGAAAGAAATTCATTGTCAGTAGTCTTGTTACTTAAGCACTGTGTAGCTATCTACAGTAAATGCATAAAATAGCGTCATGGTGGAGAAAGATTTTCACAATGTGAATCAGAAGTACCGAAAGACTGTGCATGGCTAAAGCTTCACTGCCAGGAAATACCACATATGCATAAGATGCAGCACAAATGCATGCCTTTTTTTTTTTTTTGCTGGGCCTGCAAGAAACCCAGAACAAATTACACTGGCACAAATAGATTACCTGCATGTGGCTGGAACAGTCTGTGCTGTGACACTGATTTATGGTAGGCTGCTATCACATTTTGCTATTCACACTGCAAGGTCAAAACATACATGTGGCAAGCTTTAAGTGCACAGAAACAACAGTATAGAGTGGGTTACAGCATCTGTGCAATTGTCTACTTGGCTGTAATTTTACAATTTATTTATTTATTTATTTTTTAAATAGGAATCAATTTTTGCCGCGATTTAAAGGAAATTCTAGATTACAAAGGAAATCACTCCTGATGGATGCAGGAGCTCTGAGAGTAGAAGTGCAGGCTGAAAATGTCAGATATGGTGCTGAATGTCATGGTCACTCTGCTTCAGTGGCGTGGAAGAAAATCAGTGATCACACTTCTGCCGCACACAGGGACCTAACGCCAGAATAAAAACATCTTCTGTTCTGCTCTATGTTTACCTGAACTGAAAGTTATATTAAACTGTAATATCAATAGAACAAAATTAAACACATAGCACTTTATGTTAATTTATTATCAGTAGTGGGTGTCCCACAGCCAATCTAAACTCACAGCTACCGGCAGTCATCAGCAAATACTGTCATCAATCCTGTCTGGAGAAACAATTTGCTTACCTCAAACTCATCTACCCAGGAATCACCTTCTGTTACAGAGAGCGACTGGTTATTACATAGGAATGAGAAATGATTGCGAAGAATAATTAAAAGGCTTGAATCGTCCTTTATCTCTTTGTGAGGTTCTGCTGAGAGACGCCCCCACCGCCCCTGCAACATCAGTGTGAGTATGTGTTTAGAGCATGATGAATGAGTCATTGTGCTTCAGCTATTTTGGCAACAGAGTGATGATGATGGTACTAGATGAGTTAGTTAATGCCTCAAATATTCGGTGAGCTTTCAAGTGTCTTAAAAGAGAAATCCTGTGCCAGTGGAAAATCTTTAAAAAAAGAGTCATCTTCATCTACTTTTCCATCAACAAAGGATTTCATCAGTTAAAGCTTTTGGATAATTTTGTTTCTTCTTTTTAAAAAGAAAGAAGTTAGTTTCAAAATGTAAAGCTTGATAACACCCTTCGCTGTAAAATCAGAGTAGCAGGTTTGCTTACTGTTTCCTGCACAAACAATTTCCTACACCAAATTACAACACTGTGTTATACGTAAGATTCACGTTGCTAAATGCTTTTTTGCCATTTCACTGTTATTTTAGGCTTCTTGTTGTGCACAGTTAATTGCCACAAAATGTAATTGCCTGTTTTTATCCCTAAATGGATTTAAGTCGTGCTTAAATTCTGATATGAATCTGATGAACTGGTTGGATTTTCCCCACACAACCATCTCTTTTAAAGATGGTCTGAAAAAAAGAAAGGGCCTCAGTTGCGGTTCATATTATAAAGAGTTACCAAGAGAAAATATCCAGTGAGCAGCAGTCCAGGGAAAAATTCCCTTGTTGGAGTCATAGGTCAGAGGAGAATGGCCACACTGTTTCGGGATGATAGGAAGGCAATGGAAACTCAAATAATCACTCATTACAACAAAAATTTGCAGAAAAGCATCTCTGAAGATACAACACATCAAAACTTGGAGCAGGCGGCCTACAGCAGCAGAAGAGCACATCAGGTGCCTCTTCTGTCAGGTAAGAACAGGAAACTGAGGATACAAATGACACAGGCTCTCTTAAATCCTCTTGGCACACTTTGTCTCCCATAGTAACAAGATGACATTGTTTAAGTGGCAGAGCCCTCTTGAGTAATGTTGTTGACTAAGTCCATCACTTTGTGACCAGAGTGCAACCACCTTCTGTTGGCTGCTTCAGCAGAATAACACATCATGTCTCAAAGCTCACAAAGTTGAAGATATGCAATGAAGAATTTAGTTAAAGCAAAAGTGGGTCAACCTCAGTATTAGAAAGTGTAACCAATGATGTGCATGTTATTCTCTCCTTTATATTGTGTTCTTAAAACCCAAATACAATTGTTCAACAGTATTACACTAAAGGTACTAAATGCCTGCTGAACTGTATGGATGAATGCCTTTTAGTGAGAGTGCCCATTGTGTAACATCTGAAGTAGGACATGGCATGCTGGTCTCATAATCACAGACTATGGTGCAGCTATATATTTTTCACAGTTATATAACTGTACTTTACTCCTCCGCCTCACTGGACAGGGGAAGGATAGAACTCTGTGCAGTTCCCTGATTTCATGATTAGTTCGCTCAGGTTTGGTTATATCAGGAACAGAAAGCAAACCTGGAGATGTAAAATGAATCAGGGTTTATAATAACATCCAACATCATGGTATATCCTCCGGTTATGCCAGTTGCCGTGAAGGTATTTTGATATTGTTTGCATTTATGGCTGAATGAAGTGAAGAGTACTCAGAAAGGCCCCGACTACAGCATTAGAAAGCTTCAACATTCAGTCCAAATTTCTAGAAAAAGAAAATTATATTCAAATAGAAGAATCTGAGTATTGTTTTGATAATAGTAAAATAAAAAATCCAAGCATTTAGAGAAAATATTGTAATTCAGTATATACAAGTAAAAACACAAAAATACAAAGACACAAACTTCTAGTAATAAATCAGAGAAAACCAGTTACTTTAATTTAAATGTACAATTTTTCAGTTATCAGCTGATTTTAATCCAACACAACTCAGGTAAGTAAAAAGTCAAGGCTCCACAGAGGTGTCTGAAATCTTAATTCCTTCCCATTTCCACTGCTTGCGAAGATAATTCATATTGTATGAATATGATTTATGATAAATCATAAACATGTGTGCTGTAGTCGCGGTGGCCGAGAGGTTAAGGCGTTGGACTCGAAATCCAATGGGGTTTCCCCGCACAGGTTCGAACCCTGTTCGTGACGATAAAGCTTTACTGAATTTCCCGGAGGAACCTACCTGAAAGATTAATAAAGTCCTATCTATATACTTTAAGGTGTGGTTTGGTTGTGATTGGCAAGTCTTTTCCTTATGAATGTGCTACATTCTTGGTTTCTTACTCAGAGCCACCGCTCCTTCGGCCGCAGGCTCTAAAACAGCTGATTACAAAGAAATGGTTAATGTCCATTTAGATACAGTCCCTCTGTGCTGAACTTAAAGTGACGTGCGGAGGAGTTTGACTGGCCTGCATAGAGCCTTACCTCAACTCAATCCAGCACTTAAGTGGTAAATCAGTTGCAAACATTCATTTTCTTAGTAAGTGTTTAGAGGCATGGACACAAACCATGTCTGTCACACTAGATGAGTGAAGTGTATCTTTAAATAACAATAGAGCCAATAACAGTTTGAAGTTTTCCAAAGGTCAACAAGCAGGTGCTCTGTAACATACAAAAACGTGATTCCTTACCAGCTTCACACCCATGAAAACTATCAGTTCTGTTCACAGACAGTGTGCACTGGAAACCATGTGTGTGCTGCTCTTGTAGCTTGTTTTCCAGTGTTTGGGGACAGGTGGCCCAGAGTCACTTTTTGGCAGCAGGTCTTGACTTTCTGATCAGTAATCTGCTCACTGTCTGCTCTGGCTGGAGGACACAAACCTGTGGAGTGTTGACCATATTGCATCTTATTAGGTTTCACTTTCTGAGGAAGAACAACATCTGTTTGGAGCGTTAGGTTCCCATGAGAGCAGCGTTTCTGAGCCGGTGGACTTCTTTTATCCACCACTGGTTGTCTTACCAGCTGAAATGATCAGACTAGTCCCATGAGTAGGCACTGTTAATAGATATTTCAGAGGTGTTGAGGTATGAATAATTAGATTAGCATCCTTTATACTACATTACAGGGAAAACATGTTGCAATCGTAGCAGCATAGACAGTTCATAATGCTGTATGATATGTTATAAGGTAGAGAAGATAAAAAAAACCCCACTATAATTATCCACTCTGCTATTATCAACATATTAACAGGCTTGTGGTGATGCTGACATACTATAATGCAGGTTCATCATCATAATTATTCACTCATGAAGATATAGTCATATGAGAAAGAACATTTCCACAGGACTCTCTGTAATCCGGTGGAAAAATAAGCCCACTCTGTGATTCGGTAGCTTGTAGAACCTCCTGTGGCAGCAATAACTTGAAGTAATTGTTTTTGTTATCATTTAATCAGTCTTTCATATCATTGAGCAGGAATTTGGACAATTTATGCACAAGTCTATTAATGTCCAGAGACAAGATTTCAATCAGGTTGAAATGAGGTTGTGGACTTTGGGCCACTGCAACACAATGATTGTTTTCTTCTTGAACCATCCTGTAAATTTACGCTGGTGTTTGGTATTATTAGCCTGCTGCATACCCAGTTTCAGCCAAGCTTTAGCTGACAGACCTGTAGTCTCACATTTGACCTTTAGAATGGTCTTCATACATTTGATTGGCAACATCTGGCTGATTTATACCATCTAAATTCCTTTGAAAGCACCAGGGGTGTACAGGACTGCGCAGAGTCCTGTGAAAATTTGGTTTTTACACAGCTGTATAATCAGATTTCCTGGTAGCGTAATATTTACTAGTCAGAAAACGCTAAAGTGTGTGAACCAGAAACACCTAGGGCTTGCTTACCTTATCTGCCTGAGATCATAAAAAGTGATTATTTCACTGTAGCACGGATTCTCACTACTGAAATCAGAGCAGTTCATCTTGAAATAAAGAAACTAATTAAGAACTTACTTATATAAAAAAAAATAGCTCAGTTTGTTAAATTAAAATAAATAAATCAACCCCTGTATTTTTCATCAGTTTCCAATTTTCGCATCCATGTGAAAATGAACAAAGCTACTAAAATCATGAAATAAAAACAACATTTTAAACAAGCATGTGACTTGTCTAGTGATCATTTTTAGATTTTAATTCAAATTAGACCAGCTGGGATGCTTGTTGTTTTGCCATAATCTGTTTTAATGAATATAGTACTATATTTTGTAAAATATTTAAACAAAAAACAATATTAAAATGGCAAAAGTGAGTGGAGGAAGGATCAAGAAATTAGACAACCAGTCACTTTATGTGCTGAGGAATCAGCTTTGAGAATTTTTTCTTAAAGCTAAACATGGGCTACTGTGTGATCCAGTTTGTAGTTACAGGGAATTATCCGTTATTAAAAATGTTGTTAGCAGTGGTACAAAAGTTATACTAACTGCAATTCTCCTTATGCTGCAACATTGTAGTATCATGGCAGCTGGCAAAGGCAAGATGATTGACATTGATTGCCGCATAAACAAGCCAACTGATAGATATATGTATTTATATCCATCCAAAACAAGGCATTTGGCTTGAGGCAGTTTTCAAATCAGCAGGCCATGAATATCAAATCATTCAGAATTACGGAGAAGAGAGCGACTGGCGGACATCTGGTCGACTGGTGCTTGTGCTCTGCTGCCTGCTTGTTAGCATATCAGAGAGAGAGAGAGAGAGAGAAATGCATCTTTCAGCCAGAGACAGAAAATAGCACGTAGCATATGTTTCCAAAGAAGAACAGATCATTTAAACAGAGATTATTGTTTTATTTGAACATTTCAGAAAAGTGCCTTCAGTTTACATAACCTCCAGAAGAACACATGCATGAGCCAGTTTTAGACAGAGCTCCTCTTTGTTTTTAACTGATGAAGTTGAAAACAAACCACCCCAACCGCTCCACTCTGAGCCACCGCCACTGTTATCCAACCTTGTTTATGAGTCCCCTGTGCTGCAAGAATAC